GCTTGGGCGACGGGGGGCGGACGGCAAGGGCTCACCAGGCACGTCCGCAGGAGGCTCTTCGGCAGCCTCTTCGGTTGCCTCCTCAGTGGCCTCTTCAATGGCCTCCTCGCCGCCCTCGTCGGTGGCCTCTTCGGCAGCCTCCTCAGCAGCCTCTTCAGCGGCTTCCTCGGCGATCTCTTCGGTCGCCTCTTCGGCAGGCAGCACTTCTGCGGACGCAATCTCAGCATCCAGCACCTCAGCCACCCCCTCGGTAGTGACCGCCTCCTCAACCGCCGCCTCTGCGGCTCCCACCTCCTCGACCACCATATGGGTAGCGGCCGCTTCCTCTACATACGGCACCTCGGCCGTAGCCTCCTCCTCGACTATTGCCACGTCCTGAGGAAAGAACCAGATTACCAGAATGCACAAAAGAGGAAAAAGGATGCCAAGGAGGAATACTTACGATCGCAGGGGGGGCCTCACTTACAATCGCGGGAGGAGCTTCCTCCTCACCTCTGCCCTCCGAGGAGGTAAAAAGGGTCCTCTTCCTCAGCCGCGGCACTCTGGGCCAGTACGGCCTCAGTACCTGGCGCCTCTCGGCTCCTCTTGCGATCCGAGGCTGCGTATACAAAGAGAAGAAACAAAAGTGAGATGACCAGGGACGAAAATGGTTCAAAGGGGCCGGTGAAGAATAAATGATAAATAGAGAAAATAGGCGAGGCTTACCAGCGACAGCGGTTGGTCGAGCTAGCAGGGAGTGCGGCACGGTCCTGTGCGCCACCGTCTTTCGCGCCCCCACCACAGACGTCGCCCTGCGAGCGGGGGCTGCAATTGAGGATGGGGCCGCGCCGAGGGAGGGGACGTCACCTTAGGTGCGGCCACGGCCAGGGTACTCGGTCGAGGAGGCCCGGCTGATACCTTCTTCACTTTGCTGCCCTTGGGGGTAAGAGGGTCCCAGTCTGCATTCTTCAGGGCCACCCTTGCGGCCTCTTCAACGGGCCGGATAAATCTGGCCGAGATACACTCCTCGTGCCAGACCCTTCCATCTTCGTCATACGCATTACGGCGCGACCAGGGCGTCAGAGTCAGGAAGGTCATCCCCTATTGAAGCTGGAAGGTTATGTCAGCCACGCCGTGCTGCTGAGAGACATCGGCCCTCCATGACGAGAGCCGGTTGGTTGACAGAGGAGGGAGTGGGGCTGTCTGGATAAGGCCGAACTGCCGCGCCACGAATTTTGGCAGATAAACCTCGACCCCGGCCTTGGACAGGCCGCAGTGAAGGTCGCGCGAAACCAGGAAGGAGCCCCAGATCTCCTTCAGATCATTCTCCGTCTCAACATCAGGAATGACGGAGAGATCGTGAGTTAGGAACAGGGGGAACGACCGAGCAAGGCAGACTCGGAACTGCGTACCAGTCCTCTCAGCCAGGCCATAGAAAAATTTGTAACAGAGGGCCAAGGTGTTATGCTTCCTGGGGGCTCGGGCAAATGCATTGGCTAGCGGCTCGGCGTCATTGATATCGGCCACCGCCCTCAGCTCTGGGAAGTAGGCTTGCAGCCAGAACTGGAAAGCCCACAGCGGACCACCGTGCTTCGGCTTCATCCCATCGGTGACGATGTCGTGAAGCGTGCGGTAGATGTGGCCGAGCAGGAATGGGCCGAGTGCTAACCTTCCGCCTTGCAGCCAGAACTGGAAAGCCCACAGCGGACCACCGTGCTTCGGCTTCATCCCATCGGTGACGATGTCGTGAAGCGTGCGGTAGATGTGGCCGAGCAAAAATGGGCCAAGTGCTAACCTATCGCCCTGCGCTAGGTAATCAGCCACGTGGGCGAACTCTAGGGTAACCTTATTCGCCTGGGTGCAGAATACAAACTTGCACAACCAGTACATCAAGAATGCAGCATGCTTAACCTCGCCGAGGGGGGCGATGGCGTCGTCTTCGGCGTTGTCCTCCACTCCAAAATTGCTGTAGAAGCTGGAGTAGTTGAGCATGTTCTTCGCCTTGTTCCCGGCGACCCTCGCAAGAGTAGGCCACGCGGCCTTAAAACTCCCTTCCGCCTCAGGAGCAACGAGTGCAGCGTTCACTTCCACGCCGAGAGGAGAAAGGCCGAACAGGGCGGCCATGTCGAGCACGGTTGGCGTCATCATGCTGAACCGAAAATTCATAGTGTTGGTGGCTGACGACCAAAAACACCAAGCCGCGACCAAGAGCGACCGATCCATGACGGCGGCCGATCGAACAGTTTGACCAAGTGGTAGATGCCTTTATCCTTCCATTGCTGGCCGAAGAAGTGCTCCATCCTCGGCAACCATTTTTCCCAATATGGGGTCACGGTTGGCCACTGTTGCTGCGGCCTGAGGACGTTCCAATCCTGGAAGTCCCCCCCGTCAAAGGCCGAGAGATCCACCAGATTGTTCTTCAAATGGGCCAGCAGTGTTCACTTCCACGCCGAGAGGAGAAAGGCCGAATATGGAGGCCATATCGAGCACGGTCAGCGTTATCATGCCGAACCGAAAATTCATAGTGTTGGTGGCTGACGACCAAAAACACTGTTGCTGCGGCCTGAGGATGTTCCAATCCTGGAAGTCCCCCCCATCAAAGGCCGAGAGATCCACCAAATTGTTCTTCAAATGGGCCACGAGCCTCTCTGGCATTCCGCCATCAATGGAGGGGCTAAGAACGCAGGAATCAGTAGGGGAACCATCATCATCAGCCCAGGGCGCGATGATGTTGGGGAAGACCGAGCCCTGGATGTCTCGGCAAATAGCCTCGAATTCAGTATGAAAGGCTTGGGACCGAACTTCGACAGATGTGGAGGTACTAGAGGCCATTAGAGCAGGTTTTAAGATAAGTGTTTAAGGGGGAAATGCGGAAAAAGGTGATGAATGCGAAGAACACTAGAGGAAAGTCCTGAAAATGGGAGAAGGTCTGTAGGTTCTGGAAAGTCGTGAACTCAGGAAGGATTCTCTGGTAAACTTGGAGGTTCGAGAGTTTGGGGGGTTTGAAGGTTTGAGAGAGGGGTTTTTGACAAAGCTTGGGCGTCTGAGAATTCTGAAAGCGTAAGGAGAAAGCGAAGAAATCTGGGTTTTTATATTGGCGCTAGAATTCGAAACAAAAGGGCGTGTCTCTCTCGAGAGACGTAACGTTCTGTCAGCACGCT